ATTGAGGAGTTGTTATAAGTACTAAGACTAAATTTTCTACCACCTGTGTACATTCTGATTCAATGGTAAATCCCCACCCCCTCTCTGCTTTTGTTCTAAGTTTCACCAATCGTTATCGCAGCTACTTTTCAATGGAAGAATAACGCTTTTCCTCTCATAATAAATCAACATCGTTGTCGGTGCACAAACAAGTAAATATTTGTCGCTTTTGTCGTGACGCTGTATCGGATGTGGCCTAGCACTCAATGACACATGAAGACTTATTCGCTCGTCAGTTGAACGGTCCTTTAATAAATCAACATCAATTTGCCGTGACGCAGATTGTTATTGACAAACAAGTGCTCATATTTGTCGCTTATTCAGAGCGTCTAAATTGTCATCGGATGTGGCCTGAAGGGATGGCTTCTACAAGTGACACATGATTTAGACTTATTCAGTGGAAGCCTGGCAACGCCCAAACAGTCGTTCTGCGCACCATCGGGTGACAAATGTTTCTACAACCTTTGCGCGGGATCTTTATTCTCGAAGGTCAACTTTGCTCCGAGTTCAAGTTTGCCGGCTTAGTTACAAACTAGCTGGAGTAAGATTAGGGGTTAGAGGTCCCGCTGTGTTCGGACCAAGGGCCGAGAGGACGGGAGCTAAACGCGCGAGAGAGCTAAGTTTTAGAACGATGCCAGTGTAGCTTTAGTTATAGAGCCGTTATAGAGAGAGGACGCAAAGCTGTTCAAAATGAAGTGATCGTCCCGTGTAACGCTTAAAGCTAGCGAGAGAGAGAGCGTGAACCGTCTGTTGTTCGCTTGTTTGTTGTCTTTCCCTCATGAAGGCATAAATGAAGATGGCCTTTACAAGTGAGAGAGAGAGTGTAATCAACTAAGTCTTGCTGCCCACGCCCGTGGCCGGATACAAGACGTTTGTTGTTTCAAATACGACGCCACCGACCATAATCATGGACGCCTATATGCAAGTGGTAGGCTACATCGTGTTCTTCCGGTATGGCAAATGTCTGCGCCTACCATACTGTAGAGACAAATGTTGGCGCCTCACAACACTGCTTGTGTTCTCGACATGTCCGAATCTGGCTCGCCAAGCGACCCTTCTCGGCATGGCCTGCGACCTTCATGCTCAGCCTCGCCCCGCAGTGTGCGGGTACGGTCCTTGGTATTGCGGCGACTTGAACGCCTCACCTTATCTCGCCCACCGATTTCTTGGTCTCACCGAGCGGCGCCCCGCTCATCTTCGTTTCAGTCCGAGCTCAACCACGCCCGAGAGAAAAAGTCAGAAGCAAAGGTTCGTGCCGGAGCTGACTTTCTAGGTCTCGGCTCTGGTAAGCAAAGGTCGTACTCTTAACTTCGAATCCTTCGCCGCCCATACCCTCTTTGGCCCGGCCTTCCTTGCCGGAGAAGCGGGTTGGAGTCGTCGAAGCGCTGCCGCCCCTTCCTGGCCAGCCTTCCGGAGAAGCCGGGTCCGGCCCGGCCGGCTGGCACTTAGTCGGACATGCAAGCATATAGAATAAATATACCGGAGAGGCCGTCCCGCGAGATCAACCCCCATCCGTCTGGGGACTTTCACTCTTCCGCCTTTCGCTTAGGGTATCCGGCTGGCCTGTGAGTTGCGCGGCACGTCTGTAATGCCATCCGCCGGTCCGAAGCTTTTGCCGGGTAGTGGGCCCATTAGGGACCCCGGTTTATGAACCCGACAATTAATATGAACCAAATTTCAGCATGAGATAGCAGGCCATAGGAGTCGACGAGAAACATCGCAACCACTGCACCGCCATGCTTGGGAAAAGTTTTCGACAAGCCAAGACACCACCACACGCACCAGCACGCACGTGTGTGAACGGGAGTAGGTTTCGCATGGGCGGATGTATAGTGTATATTAGTGGCAGTAAAAAATGAAAAACGCGCCCACGTGATCTGCTTCCAAAATAGAAATAAGTGATTATAGCTAATTTTGAGGAATATGCAAAGTCCTTCAACTTCAAAACTTGTAAGAGTGTTATCCAGGTCCCCTACTTTCAAAATGTCAATTCTAGGTCCATGAACCTGGCCGGTAAAGGCTATTCAGTATCAACGAGCTCGATGAAGACGGATGAAGATTATATCAAATTAATTTATCATCAGGATCTACAACAACTTTGTAGCTGAAAAGTTTTGAATTAATAAGTGATTATAGGATCCCAAAATATTGTTGGCAAAGTTTAGGTCATCTACTTTCATTTAAAATTTAAAATTTAAAATTATAAAAATCTCAGATGTTGACATGGTCCCAAAATATATTTAAGATTTTATATTTATCAATACAATCTATATAAAAGTTATATTTATCAATACAATCTAATTTTGTAGTTGAAAGTTTTTTTATTTGAAGTCGCTTAGTATCTCGAAATATGTGTTCTAAGTTTTTTTATTTCAAAATATATAAACTTAGAACACATATTTGGGATACTAAACAACTTCAAATAAAAAAACTTTTCAACTATAAATTTTTAGATCGTATTGATAACTATAACTTTCATATAGACCATGTCAACATCCGAGATCGTTGGATAATTTTAAATTTCAAAATTCAAAATCTACGTACTTACAACAGTATTTTGGGACCCTAAATAGTTTCAAATAAAAAAAATCAACTACAAAGTTGTAGATCCTATTGAGGGGCTACAATTTTAATATAAAATTTGTCTTTATCCGAACTCGTTTGGACCTATTTAAATCTGGATAACACCCGAAGTCAAGTTTATGGACACAGAATTAGCATTTCGAAAGTAGAGGGACCTAAATGGCAACTTCACGCTAAGTTGAGCGGCCGCCCATTTATTTTCCTCGCTAATTTTTTATCATATTCGTACACTCAAAATAAAAATCTACACGTCAACGAGGTAAGCATACCCCTTAGAATTTTCTCTAGCTCCGCCATTCGCTGTACCTACCCTGGTAGACGGTAGTCGGTAGTGGTACTGCAATGCTACTGTTCGTCGCTCGATCTCTCCTTGCAACTTCCTTTCACTTTCACTGCTAATGTATGTGCCCCCATGTGCTCCAGATGCTAGCACCATACCGCCACGTGTCGAACACGGTAGTCCCCCACGCGCTTCCCGTTTGTCGTGTGCATTGCACTGCCACACAAAAGAGATTCAGCCTCTTCGGCTTGTGCTGATACGATCGTATACGATCGTGGATTATTACTTTGGCTGGTTTGGTGTGAGAGAAAAATACTGCTTCGACCGAAATTTATGATCGCTTACTACCGCTTAACAAACCGATTATCTGATGCTACCATTACGATGTACTCCGTACGTACTAATCGGGAGCACGAAGATGACAGCACCACCTCATCGGTACTCCCGCCATTCACAAAAGAATACAAATCATGGAAACTGTGCTGGTCAAATCAGTTTAAGTTTGACTAAATTTATAATAAATAGTATTAGCATTATGTCTCCAAATATTATGAAAATATATTTATAGCTAATCTAATGATACTTATTTTGTCTCATGAGTGTTAGTATTTTTTATATAATTTTAGTCAAAGTTTTAACTGTTTGACTCATCGAAATGTGATAGTTGCATTCTTTTGTAGACGGATGGAGTAGTTTAGTTCGAGTTAGACTTCCTTAAGTTTAGCTACTCCTCCATCTTAAAAGGAATAGTCATCTCCTAAAAAGTCAAACAAATAAAGGTTTCACCTAATATATATACAAAAAGATGCCGATAATTATGATGTATAACAAGTACCACTGCATTAATTATAGAATTTATTTTATGATAAATATGTTTGAAGATATAAATATTGATACTACTTTCAATAAATTTAGTCAAACTCGACATTATTTGACTACTTGGGGAGAGTAAATTTATAGAAAATATTAATGACATCTATTTATGGCTTCAAATAGATATGCTATAAAAAATAAAATCCATAATAAATATTATATTATGATTATTTTGTACTCCCTCCGTTATAAGACGCTTTGACTTTTTGATACATCGAATTTACGATATAACGTATGTCTAGATACATAGCAAATTCAATGTACTAAAAAAGTCTAAGTAACTTATAATTTAAAACGGAGTATCATAGTTAATATTATCTTCAAAGTAAGATAGATTAATACTTGATAGAAAACTGAAATTGTATTTTCTTTATTGGACGTAGGGAGTACGTACGTAACGCGGTCAAGCAAGATTAGGAGATACGGAGGAGTCATAGCCAGCAACAGCTGTTATCGTCATCCTCATCCATCAGACGACCATCATGCATGAAACTAGCCGGGCCCTGGGCAAGATTCATGGTGCTCCTGCTTGGGCCCGGGGACAAGAGGTGACTTGCAGGAGCGAATAGGGAGCACAAGAATAGTAATTTTCTTTCCAACGGGCGTGTACGTGCAGCCCACGTTTGGCTTTCCCAGGCGCGGAGAAAAGCCTCAAATTCCTACTGAGAGGCAATGCAACCTACAAGTAGTTGCACAATCACAAAGTCATGCCCTGCTTCCCTGTATTGTTTTGCTCACGCTCGTTATTCGTCCCAAAACCACAAAACCTGATGCTAAAAGTTTAAGACGGATCGGACGTGTACGGTCTAAGAACCAGAAGAACAATCGATCGATCGATTTGATGATGGGTAAAGTTACGTTCCGAAATCATAACAAGGCACACCGCGTTACGTTTGGGAAAACCAGCTGGGACGGATTAAATGAACGAGACCATTGTATTATCTTCCTCATAAAAATGAGGACGATGAAATCAACCAGTGGGACGCGAATGCAATAACGGGACACACATCTGAACCAAAGAATCATCGATCCTGTTATACTACCATATATGTATGAATCAGTTCGAAATCGAACTGCTAATCCAACACAAAAACTACTAGCTAGCGTATTACAAAAGCAACTAGCTGCAGCTAGCAACTAATATGATTTTTACACGTCCTGGATTCTACTAAATGACGCTGATGAGTTAGCCCCAGACAAGGAGAAATCAGCCGGCTGGATCGATCTAAGCGAAGAGCTCGAGCAAGACGGGCGGATCGATGGCGGCGGCGCGCGGGGCCTCGGTGCGCCAGACCCAGGCGTCGGCGGCCTCGGCGGCGCCCATCTCCTCGCGGTGCCTCCTCATGTGGCCGCCCAGCGCCTGCCCCATCTCGAAGCCGAGCCCGCAGATGTGGCACTCGTGCTGCTGCTGCTGCGGCGGCTTGTCTCCTCCGCTGCCGTTGCCGACGGCGGCGGCCTGCTTGTGCTGGTTGAGTGCCCTGGCGCCGACGCCGAGCTTGAGGCCGTGGCGGCCCCGCAGGTGGCTGGTCCGGTGGCCGCCGAGCGCCTGGAACGAGGTGAAGGCGCGGCTGCAGGTCTTGCAGACGAACTCCCCCCCCCGACGTGGCCACCACGGCGCCCCTCCGCCGCGCTCTTCGCTTCGTCGCCGACGACGGGGTCCCCGTGGAGTCCGACGTCGTGGTCGAGTCCGTAGTGCTCAGCGACAGCGCCAGCGACACCTCGCCCGCCGGCTCCTGCTCCTTCCTCGGGCGCTTCATGATCTGGGCGGTGTGTCCTCTCCTCCTCGCGGCGGTCTCGGTCGGTTGGCTGGGTCGGTGGTGATATATCTCTGCAGGTACGGCTCCGGCTCGCGGAAATAAGATGTGGTGGTGTTTTTGTGCTTGGGCGAGGAGGTGTGGGTGAGGGCGGGCGCCCTTTTATAGGTTGTGTACTTGTGTCCGCGTCCAAGACTCGGCAGAGAGAGGCGGTGGTGGGCTTACGTGTGCACCAAGTTGGTGGAGGTGGCGTGGGCGGACCAATCCGGGGAAGGCACCGCAACGCGCGGCGCCGCGTCGCGACGTGGACGGATGGGCATCCATCGCGCGCGGGGGCGGGGGTTGGGGCTAGGCGGCTCGCTCGGCTGGCCGGCTGCACGCACCGGGCGTGACGGCGTGTGGATGTGGTGGTGCGGACCACGGGGCGCAGGCAGTGACGCAGCCTGGCACGGCAGGCAGGTGCAGGTGGGCGGGCTGCCTGGCCTGCGCGTGGCGGCCGGTGCCCTCCGCGAGACCGCGACAGCTCTTTGCTTAACCGCGGGGGCAACGCCGCCGCCCGCTGGTTCGGCGGAGGGGATGGGAGTGATGAAAGCGATTAATTAATTAATTAATTATTCGGGACAGTTGGTGGGGCCGTGCGGGATGGGCGGCGTGTGGAGATGGACTTGCTGACTGCACTTGCACACGGTCTGCAGCGGCTGCTGGAAGGGTCTGGAACCTTCTCCTCCTCCTCCTCCTCTGGGGGCTGGCCTGCCAGATTTGTGAGGTTTGAATGACGCACGCATGGTCAACTAATCCCTGTTCTAAGTTCGTTCGTTCGTTCCGGTTCCAGTTCCAGAAGATGTACTAGAATCATGCGTGACTCCTACAGTATAGTTCAACGCTAATGCTCTCCAGAAGATGTACCAGAATCATACGTGACTCCTGCAGTCCAACACTAATGCTCCACCACGGACGTCCGTTCCACATCGGTCAGTCCTGACACGGCTAGCTGCTTCCCTCATCGGCACACACGATTTCTCTAAAAAAACGTTAATGCTCTACCACGGGGGTCCGTTCCGCGTCGGTTAGTCCGGACGTGGCTAACTGGGCTGCGGATTGGCCCACAAGCCTGCTCTCCTGATCGGCATACATGATTTCTCCAAAAAATAAAACTAAAGAAAAGAGAGCGACATCTTATCTTTTCTATTCGCATCGGCTCCACCACACCGCCCACCCTTCGGTCGCGGGCGCTAGAGCTCTGCTAGCGCCCGCGTCTGCACAAGCGCGCCGCCGCCGCACGTATACGCATGATCGTTGAGTGCCCCCACTAGTCACAGACGACGACGAGCTCCACCGGCCACACAAGGCCGCCTCCGCCCGTAGTGAGGGAGACTGCTGTCACCTCCACCACAGGGACCGGACGCCTAGTCGGCGGCCAAGACGACCTCCGCCTCCGCCTGCCCAACTCGCAACACCCGGTGTGGAGTTCGCTCACAGGCAACTCACTTGCAGCCCAAGCGGAGCCCGCCCACGCACATCTCGCGCCCGCCTACCCAGCCTTCATCGTGGTCGGGCGGAACTTGCTCGCCATGCAGCCGCTGACGCACCGTGATAGAACTCCACACGCCGACGAGGATCCACTCAAGTTTTTCAAATGTTTCAGATGTATGTTGCAAAAGTGTTTTGTATCTATGTTGCAAAAGTATATCAGGATGTTGCAATTGCATTTTCAAGCGTATGTCCTAAATATTTCATTTATTTCAAGCGTATGTTGCAAGTGTTTCATCTGGATGTGGCAAAAGTAGAATCGATGTTGCATATACATGCATGTTGCAAGTGTATATTTCAAGTGTTTCAAGTACTTTATGTATTTTATACGTATGTTACAAGTGTTTTATCTAGATGTTTCATATGTTTTGTAGTGGCTACAAACGTGTTTTCCTGGTGTTTGAAACGTATGTTGCAAGTGTTTCAATCGTTTCGGACGTATGTTGCAAGTGCTTCATCTAGATGTTATAAAAGTAGACTTGGTGTAGCACATGTTGCAAGTTGGGACCCATCTCGCAATGTGCCCACTTGTCGCAGCCGCCGGGGCCGCCAAAGATGCGCGTGGAGTAGAGGGGCGTCACGGTGCGTGCGCGGAACACGAAGCGGCGCGGGTGCAGGACATGGAGCGACGCGATACCCCACGTGAAGCAAAGCGCAAGAAAAGGGTGTTTAACACTAGCCCCGTCTAGACATCCCAAGGCGCTAGACGCTCCCATAGTGCAATGAATAAGCTAGCGCACCGCGTATTACCAACATGGATCATTCGTGAATATACCGGATTAATCCTAGTAGCCGTCAATCTCGCAGTCTTGCTTACTAATAAGAGTGCGTTTGGTGCAGCTCGCGCAGGAACCAGCTCCGTGACTATACATGTCCTGTGGCGGAGTCGGCGGAGCACCAAAAAGTCAAAAACGTGGCTCCGGCTGCTCCTCCTCGTTTCATGTTCATTTGTGCCGGAGTTGGAGCCGTTTTTTCTCTGCTACAGGAATCTACAGTGTTGCGCAATGGCCATGCGAAGGAGCCAGAGCCCCCGGTATCCAAACCAAGTGCCTGTTTGGCAGGGCTCTCGGAGGGGCTCCGGCTTCGACTCCTGAAGGAGCCCTATCAAACGCCGCTGCCAATAACTTCTTCAACCGGAGGAGCCGACGATAGAGCCGGAGCCCTTTTGCGCTAGTGAGAAGGAGCCACGATTCGAGGCTTCTCGCAGCTCCGCCTGACGGCCATGGAAACAAATACGTTGGTGCCCTCGTCCCCTCGCTCGATTAGGCAGAGGTGACGCCGGCGCGGTGTTTCACCGAAGCACGCGGGTGGCGACGCGGGCACCTGAGCTGCGCGGGCAGAGCGGCAGCGTGGAATAGCGGCGGCGTGGGAAAACAAATACGTTGGTGATTTTACCTCATTTCTTCCTTCAAAAAAAATCTTCAGATATGATTTACTTTAATCGTGGCCAATATTATGACTTAATTGGTGCAGGATGATCAATTACTATGTAATTTACTATATATGAACTGCTATTATATATACAATCAAGTCAAGTAATATTATAATAGGCTAGGGCACCATAGACATTTAACATCTTCCATACATTAAAAGGGAACATGAGGAGCCATTTTGCTAAACATTTTAAAAAACAGCTTCTGCCCATTCAAAGAAGCCACTTGTTCGGAGGAGCTAGAGGTAGAGCCGGAGCCGGAGCTCCTCTCGAGGACCGAGGTCCCTAACAAGGCCTAACTTTAGTACATAGTCGAGGTGACAGCTTGTCGCCACGATGACTGCTACTACTCCTGACCTTCGTCCTGTTCGTTTGGCTAATAAGCTATGAGTAAAAGTACTATTGGCTGATTTGTTGTGAGAAAAAAATAATGTTTGTTGGTTGAAAAAATACGACTTATAAGCCAAACGAACAGACCGTTTGTTACAGGGTGAGTCTGAATCCACAAATGATAGTAGAGCTGTGCGTGAGCGTGACGGACCTGTCACCGTCGCTTTGAAGTCTTGAGATTTCTGTAGACCCTGCTCGCCTCGCCTGAGTACGTACTAACGTTCGGTAATAAAGCGTGGCTTCTAAAAGTGCAGAAACGGAAGATACTTTAGCGCTCTGCTAATCTGACGTTGACATGCCAAGCAGGCGGAGGCGGGCCGGACACACACGGGAAGCTACGTACGGGAGCGGAGCACACCAAAGCAGTCCCAGTCGGGTCCCAGCGCCCGGCCGCGCGCTCCGGCGTCGGGCGGGGTCGCGTGGCTGGGCGGTCGGTTAGATCGATTTCAGGCTATTCCTAGCTACTCCCTCCGTCCCAATAAAAATATAATTATAGGACCAGATATAGATACAAGAAAAGATAGAAAATTTCGAAAATGTCCCTGGACAGTTCAGCCACTGCACAATCCTCTACCGTCGTGATTGCTCGCTCCTCTCTATGCCGTCTTATCGTACAGGAGCTTTCTGGAAGATACTTCAGGAACGAGTGGATAGGAAGGCACACAACGCCTGTTCGTGAAGGTTGTGGCCGATTTTTTTATTTGAGTGCAGCAACTTTTTTTTTACAAGAGAAGCCGAGAAGCCATGTGCTTGTTTTGTTCTGAGTGGATCCCATGCTAGCTGTGGTTCATGTGTGTATTTTTTATGGGAAAAATTTGAATGTTAGGATTGCGTTATTTTTGGGACGGAGGAAGTAGAATTTGTATTCTTCGTGCCGCCGCGGCCCGCGGGTGATCGACCCAGTCGGAGGGAGCCCGTGTGCCCGTGCGCTTCCGTTTGCCTCGCCCTCGCGGGTGCGGCGCCCGCGACTGGCTTGCTGCCGTGGTGCCGACGGAACGGAACCGAGCGGGGGCGCTCGACAAATCAGGCGGGGTGTAGGTGCTGAGTGCTGACTGGGTTCTGCACGTGCCCAGAAGCCGTACGCCGGAGATTATATCCATCAGATCGATCGACGACGTGCCAGACACGACTTTGCTTTGTTTATTACGTATATCCCTCGGTAGCTAAGACTTTCCCTTTCTGGTAGTGCTTACGGTATCTTAGGCTCTGTCGCAGCCGATCGATCCCGCAACAGAACTACAGAAGCCAAATTGACAAGTACTTAAGTAAGCTGTGATGACATCCATCACGGCTGCCCAATTTGTTTGACTATCCAAAGCCAACTGGAGGCGTACTTCTTCTGCAACAAGCAGCCACACACTTTCAGATTGGTTAATTAATCATAGTGCTAGTACTACTAGTATTATTCAACAAAGGCCGGGCGGAGACCCAGTGCGGCCGCCGGCGCACACCACGGAGTCTGGAGAGGCGATAGATGATGCAATGATTGACGTCACCGTGGGTCGACCTGGTACTGTTTTGGCTTGCCTTGTGTGTGCATGTGGCCGAGGAAACGAGATAAGCACGCGCATGACTTAGCTACCGGACAAGTTGCACGTCTAGGTAACCTGCGTGTGGACGGAGACACAGACAAAATATGGAGGCAGAAGATCTGTCTCTGTCCATCGATCGATACGCCGTGTCCTGGACATGGTCAAACAGTAAAGAGTCCCTCGCTACTTCGGGCCCACACGGCAGTACGGTGGCCGTTGGTTTGATGAATGAATGAACTAGTCCATCATCTCCTCACTTTTTACCTTTTTTTTGTTTGGTTTGTAAAATGGGATGAATTGATCCATCGTAATCTCATTTATCACAAGCTAATAATCACTACTCGTATGAAAATTAAAGTCATTCTACCAGATTTGATGAGCGAACTCATGATGCACAATCTCATCTAGAATGGTTTGGTTACTCAAACCGAACACCCTATTACTTCCTTCCTTCCTTCCGGTGTACCCTGATTGTTTCTGGGAGTGCGAAACTGCGAACATCATGTAAACCATTTGGTTGCCACAATGTGCAAGATAGATGGATGTTCCTTCTCTCTGGAGTACCCCCCACCCCGCTCCATGCAAAAACAATGAAATTTTCACTTCGCGAGGGGTTAAAGAAATTTGATCAAAGTATTAAAAATACTAAAATTTATAATGTCAAATAAGTATCATTGGATTAAATACAAAATATTTTTTTATAATAGAATTTATCTAAAAACATAAAAAAAATTAATTTATATAAACTTGATCAAACCTCAGAAGGTTTAGCTTGTCTCAAACCTACAATTACATTCTTCTTGGAACTGAGAAAGTACTCTCATTACAAATATGAATGTCGTTCCAAGTCTAGTTCTCGAACTTTGATTGACGGTGTCTAAACTTTTAAATAGATAATGGGCCTGTTCGCTGGTTGGTGCTGGTGCTGGTTTAGGCTGGCTGGTGCTGGTTTTTTGTGAGAGGAAAATACCGTTGGCTGGCTGGTTTGGGCTGGCTGAAACCAACAAGCGAACAGGTTGAATATACTAGAAATTGTCAGTCAAAGTTTGAAAAGTATGTGAATATTGGCAAATGTAAATGGATATGGACTTATATTTTCTATAGGAGAGGAATTACTCTATCCGAATGAACTACTGCAGAGTATCGTTGCCACGTTGTGAATGGACCTACGTCGGCTGTTGCAAGATCATGAGCCTGGATTGCCGACGAGCGACGACGACAGCTAGCTCCTGCTACGTTGCCGATCAACGACCACTGGCGCCAGGCCGCCAGTAGCGTGAAGTATACTAAAAACAGGAAACGCGCCATTGCTATAAAAAAAAATACAGTACATACTCTTGAATACATACCAACACGACTGCTCAAGACCGATGTGTTCTTTTACTTCTGAAGCAAACATGAACACAGCCTGTACTAGCACCTAGCAGTGTAGCTGTATTATTATTTTTATAACTAACCTAGCAGTGTAGCTGTAGCAACCACATTTCGCTATCACACGTCATTTGCCTTCGTCTGACGGCAACCGCGTCGTCAAAGGAACACCTCCCGGCCATTTGCCATTTAGCAGCAGGCTACTGGTCGGGGGAGATTTGGTCTGCCTACGGACACCTGAGATCATATGCACAGTAATGTCGGTGCCTACGTGCTCTCCATCATCTCCACGAATGATGAAAGCGTTGATAGCTCAGCCGACAAGCTCATCTCGCTCAGTAGTCGTCGCGTTAGTCAGCTTGCGCACATGCATGTCGTTAGCCAAGTTCCAGGCTTCCAGCCCATCCATCGTTGCTGGCGCATACTTGTCCACTCACATCCACTTGCAACTATACTCCCTCTCTCAAAAAAAAAAAAAATCTAAAACAGTGTCATATTTTAGTATATTCAATTTGATCAATTATAGATAAAAAAGTATAAACATTTATAATATCAAATAGATACCATTTAATTAGTTACAAAATGTATTTTCATAATAAATTGGTTTGGAGTCATAAATGTGAATATTATTTATAAAAAAAGTTGGTAAAACGTGAGGTATTATTTACTTCGTCTATACTAATAGAGGCGTACTGCACAGCCTAACAGCACCAGTACGATTTGGATGGTGACTGTTCTTTTGGTCCACGAATAACAGCCGCGTGAGCTAGGAATTTACTAGGCACTTGCATAAATCATACGACGCAAGTTTTGATAAATTACAGCAGACTGAACATTCTCAATGAAACACTTTTTTCCGGCTCATTTTCCGTGTCACAAAAGGGGGGCAAAAGCTACTTGGCGACAATAGCACACATCTAAATATAATGCAACAATATATATTTGGCTACTCGTTGAGCAAACAGATTTCGTTGCTGCGTGGTGCCCTGGCACAAAATCTGGGCCAACTCAAATTCGGCCACTAAGACAAGGCTCCACGTCCATGTTATAGCACCAAAACTTGAGATTTGAGGTCGATTCCGTTAAATATGAATGTTCCCCGCAACGGCACAAACTGCTTGGTGACCAGCTGAAAGATAAGAGGGAAAACGAACAACGATAAGTAATAAAAAAATTTCCATTCCAAATGCAATAACATTCACACTAGTGTCCAAGTATATACCATCCTATGAATTCAAATCACATTTTCCCCCCATTTTCTCCAATGTTGTGTGAAATCCTGGAAATTATGTATCTCTTCAGGATTGCGGGGAATGCTGTATAAGGGGCCCACATACCTTAATTACTTCTTGGGAAGCGACTCCACCGACAAAAGCAGCCACTGGATGGATCTCCGCAGCCCCGAACCGGCACATTTCAGTTATCAGGTCTTCGGATAAGGATGCTCCGTTCAAACCCATCTCACTTAGCACTGAAGCCGCAACTGTCTTCAGCCTAGGGATATCCTCATCAATCTCACTACCGAATCCAGTGTATAATCAGTATTATAAAAAAAGCAGATCATTTCTCCACATGTGGGATAATAATGTTCACCAATAGCAAATGAAGATTTCTCCTAAGTACCTGTCGAAGATTCCAGGCAATCTGCTATAATTGGCAGCCAATCGATCAACAGCCCGTAGTAGAATGTAGAAGTTCATTGCGTAACTGCAGTGACACATTTGATAGTCATTAGAGAAGACATTTAAAACAAAGGGACAGCTATTTCAACTAAAAAGGAGATCATACAGAATATCAGAAGTACGTATTTATGGGATGATAAACATATGACGTCCAGGCTAAATGCTCAAGCTCAGAATCAAGACCATGATATTCAAAACATTCACAGTACGATTGTACGTAGTTTTAAGAACTCTCTCTTTATTTATTTTTTAAAAAAAACACTAAAAAAACACTACTCCCTCCATTCCAAATTATAAGACGTTTTTGGCTTTTCTAGATATGTAGATTTTACTATGCACTTAGATATACATTATGTCCAGATACATAGTAAAAGCAATATATCTAGAAAAACAAAACGTCTTATAATTTGGAATGGAGGGAGTAACCCTGCAATATCCTAGAATTACCTAGTTTTAGGGTGGCATGTTACTATATAATGATTGCCAATGTTTTCAAGTCGTCCGATTAATTGCGATTAATCGTGCTAATCGGTCCCTGCTGACTGATCAGGGGTACCGTCGACTTGTACAAGTCATCCGATTAATCGCGATTATTCGTGATTAATTGTCCTAGTCGGTCCCATGGCGACTAGGTTCGACTGGACGACTTGAAAACATTGATCATTGCAGAAAATGGTTACGGAATTAATAACAAGAGGAGATCCAGAACATGTAAAACACTTCCTTTTACATCAACTAAAGGAACACGAAATAAATAGAGGTGGAAAAGCAAAATCAGAGTAATGGATGATGACCTGTAGTCTTCATCGGTGAAATACCTCTGAATCTCAGAGACAATTGGAGAGCCAAATTCCTCCTCGAAACTACGATATCTACAAAGCTAAACAATGGAAATTATTCAGCATAGATGACAAACTGGTAAAAATGACATTTTGGTGTACTTATTTACACTATTATAATTGATTATGAATATACAAATTTGAAATTAAACCAGAAACCACTGATAGGTGCAACACTAAATAGAGTATGTCCCTGAATGAATGAAAAACAAATTTGGTGCCTGCACTAATCATTATTCTATTATTCTGAGAGCAAGCAGTGATCTCATCGTACCAACAAAATCACCTTTATCCAATTTGTCATTCTGGCATGGATAACCAGACATTAAAGTCATCTCTACAACATATTAATTGTCACAAATTCACAATGACCGCATGAGGCAATAAGATGTCACGTTGTGAAAACATGCCATCTAAAAAAAGCAGCTTACCCTTAGTTTCCTAGAATTTTTACAAAATGTTTTGATATATGTTGTTGAAATAGAACTGGATCTCTACCAATCCGCTTCAAGATTTCCTTTACATGATGCTCCAGGGCAAGACAGTCAAATTCCTTTAGCTTGGTAAATCTTTTGTAGGCTTACATAATACCTGTAAGATGACACAAGGAAACATTACAATGTTCACACGAAATGGTAGCAGAATTTAAAACTAGAGATGGCAACTGGGCACTTACTCAGTAAGGGAAGTCATATCAGGTATTGTTCCCTCCAGAGGTAGCTCACCATTGCCCTCCTTTGCAATAAACTCCTATCAATAGACAGGAGAAACAACACAAGTTTTGAGACATAGACACCATGGCAAAAAAAATGCTTATATGTGGACTATGTATAGCTTATGTTCAATATACAAGCAGCTTCCATGTATTAAACATCCCCAGGGTTTCTATTTTTTCTAAGTTGGGCTTCTTCAACAAATGAAATGGATAGGTTCAGCTTAGAAGCCTTCAAAATCAGAAGATGCCTGACACTAAAATCATGTTTGCAACAGGGTTCTAGCTCTAGAAGGATGAATTTGACCTTTCAATCCGACTAAAGCAAAGCTTTAGTTTGTGAGCTTAAAGCACATCTAGAACTGGACCAAGCAAGTCCAACTGCATACTGTATAAGACATCTCAGTTATATTAGCAGCTTGAGATTTTAGCACAAATGCAGCTTGCGCATGCTCATTGTCCAAGCAGTTTCATTGCACACATTTTAGACAGCTTATCAACGTTTATGGCCTGAGATTTTGGCATGAACTATAGCAGTAAGACACAATTAAGATACCAAGAAAAGAAACTTCCTGATCTGCTTTTAACAACAGCAAGAGAGGCCACATAATAGACCAGTGACAAATGAATCAGCATTCAGTCAAAAGGAGGCCAATAAACTTTTAACCATGGTTTGCTAGCTTTTACTGAATGGCCCATAGCATATAACATAAGTCAACATCAAGTACATTTGAATCACAATATGATAGATACCTTTAAAGCAGCCACTAAAATCCAGAAATCTGATGATGATGAATTGACTTCAGCAGAGTCATCATCAATTATCTGACGGATCTCATTACCTGGCAGAAATTAATCATGAGTCAGAACCTGCATGTTTTATAGTTGTGTGCACCATTTTGTATGAGTCATTCTATGCATGAACTTGCATCATAAGCAATAAGAACATGATACCATACAACGGGATTGGGAAGGCCACTTAGGTTAAATCCAGAGCACGATTACAAAACTGTATGTTACTATTGTCCAAATAATGTAATCAGAAATAGCTTCAACAAATTTTAATTAAAATGAAGTCATTGCAGACAACCCATAGCCACTACTTTATTTATGTGATCTACTAGTGTGCAAGCATCAACTTGTTCTATGTAACTAGCATATATCAGTACACAGCATTCAAATGCTAGCTGAGTTTCATTGCTTCAATACAGATTTTGCAGGGGATGTTTGGATTCAGGGAAATGAGGGTACGATAGGGATTAGGATATGGGACATGGAAAAGATGGAGGGTTAGAACCCAAGTAATGAATCCATACCCTCCTAATCGCAACATCTACACCTAAACCTACCTAAACAGATAAGAAAGCATCAAATCTCAAATGGGATAATCAATATACATTACACAGTTCACAAAAGAGCTCTGTAATTGTGAATATCTTGTCATATGTTTGCAGCAAAAATGAGTGGCATATTAGTGTTAGAACAATATATAAGTGCACAGCCATGGGTCAGCATTGTAATTCGTGATCAAGTACCTAGAAAATTCTAAAGGGAATACACACAACAAGGTACAAACTGGTAGAGATATTGCAACTGATGTTCATTGCAGCAATCAATCAAAATGTGATACCGTCCATCTGGCAATAAGACCACTCACATGTGACATCAAACATCCAACAATAATGAAGTCTGGATGGAATGCTTGAAATCTGATCTATGTAAAATTGTAGATCTAAAAAGTTCAGCTGAGCATTTGATAGAAAATGGAAGTGGATTGTGGCTAAGCTATCTATTGAAAGTGCTAGGCTCGAGAATATTTTTCATATTAAGATACCAAGATTCAGAAAAAGGACATGTCTAACACATACAGAAAATACGTGAACGTGCCAAATCGTAAATTTAGGAACTAGCCCTTTTGGTCAACTTACTGATTCCTGGAGTGACTGAGACTTTATATGAAGAGTCCACAGCTTCTTTGTAATTTTCTTCATCGACATTAAGCATATGGGCTCGAATTAGGTCCTGATAAAGGTAACAATTAGTCAGTGCCTTGACAGTCTTAAAAAAACACATTAACAGTTCGTTTACTCAATGACTCAACAGTACTAAAAGAATGTAACCTTAAATTCCTTTTTCTCTTGCCTAGTTGAAGGCATGTTACCATCATGGGCATCAGCCCATTTTTTTGCAAGTCTCACAAGGATAACGATGTATGGAGTATGCTTGTGGACAACAGGATCCTTATCATTTATGTCAATTGATTTTGCAAATCTGAGAAACATAAGTGTCAACAATAACAGTGAACTTGTGTATAATGACAAAACTATGACACACTGTTATGTGCAAATTGAAGGTATGAATATATTTGTACTGCTTTAGTTCAGTCCATGGATTATGAAGTCGCAAATCATCCAAGAAGTGGTCTGGTTTTGATTCTATGACACAGTGCTCCTGGACAACAATAAATAAATATGTGAATCTTCCCAAAATGCTTTTGTTATGACTTCCCCCCAAGGCAGCAGAGACATAACTCCCAAGAAAGGGAAAAAAGTCACATACAACGTGACCCAGATAGCAAGGCCTTGTACTCATACAGTCATACACAACTATGAATGTATGAGCGTTCAAAATCACATGGTCTTGCTATCTGCAACTGTGATGTCACGATAATTAATTATGTTTTCATACGAAAGAGACTAGTTTTGGACATAAATAAATATATCAAAGTACCTTGACACTAACCCCTGACCAAACCGGGTTAGACCATATGAACGTATGGGTAACCAAAAACGATATCTGCTTTCCTGCAGATATCATCTAGCTTCAGTAAAGAACTCTCTGGAAGCTGCAACGTAGAAGAAAAAACAGCGCATTAAAAAAAAATATTTTGAGTTATACTGCATACAAATGTTTTGCCAGCAATACTAATAAAACAAAGATTAAGGAACTCTACTAGCATCAGTATCAATAAAACCTGAAGGAATAATCAAACTGTAGCGCTACAGACCAAAACCATATTATATTATTATGTTAAAAAAAAGAAGGCGGGCTACAGAAACTAGTATTGTCAAAATATGCTTCTAGCCAATGAATCCACTTATGGTCGCATGGCCAAATAAGCAACGGTGAAACTATATTTTTAACTACAAATTTAACAGCTGGCCAATCATTGGCGGGACATATCGAAAAAGTACTAATTTAGGGCCTGTTTGGTTGGAGGCCTATGCCTAAGAATGCTAATGAGAGTATGCATAACATCAATGCGCTTTTAAATATATATAGTGTGCAATTAACATATACTTGTATAGTTTGATTAGAAAACTAGATGATTTCGATTAATGTTATTTTTCTAGGTTAACTAAAAAATATTCTAATAAAAAATAACTATACTTAATTTTGTATTTGTATAATAATAAATCCCAACATATTTAACTATTTTTTTCAAATAAATAATACTGATTAAGTTGTGTTCCATCATCCATTACTTTCCTGACATTAAGCAACTAATCACTATCATTAGCCCAGGCAACATTGATCCAGGCGCTCAATTTTGGTTGCTTGGCCGAGCATGCACTCGCCTGGTTCAGGAAGCATATCATGGTCATCCAAACGGAGCACAAGGTTTTGCCGTCACGGTCACCAATGCCAAGAGGGCAGCTATGCATTAGCTATTGTGTACGAATTTGACACAACAGTGAGTGGCCTGGCCCAATGCCATATTACTGTCAAAGCACCATATGTCTACAGAAACTGGGTTATAACTGATGCACAAGGTATAATGGTTGCAAAATGAACCGAATCAATACACTGCTCCTCATGTAAGTCACAGAACAATAATTTAAAAGCTATCTGGTACATAGGAGGGACATCACATCCAAAGTGTCTTAATAAGAATCATTCGTCCATATAATCTTCTTTCACAAAGTATAAACTTTATTAGATCATTAACTCGTCTATGACATTTATGGTAATTGAGAGCTATGAAATCTTCTAATATTCCTCTTACTGGTTTCATCTCTTAAACATTTTTGTTTCACATAAAACATGTGTTCAACAACAACAACAACAACAACAACAACAGCAACAGCAACAGCAACAGCAACAACAAAGCCTTTAAGTCCCAAACAAGTTGGGGTAGGCTAGAGTTGAAACCCGGCAGAAGCAATCAAGGTTCAGGCACGTAAATAGCTGTTTTCCAAGCACTCCTATTTAAGGCTAAGCCTTTGAATATATTCCATCCTTTCAAGTCTCCTTTTATTGCCTCTACCCAAGTCAACTTCGGTCTTCCTCTGCCTCTCTTCACGTTACTATCCTGGCTTAGGATTCCACTACGCACCGGTGCCTCTGAAGGTCTCCGTTGGACATGTCCAAACCATCTCAACCGGTGTTGGACAAGATTTTCTTCAATTGGTGCTACCCCTAATCTATCACGTATATCATCGTTCCGAACTCGATCCTTCTTGTATGACCGCAAATCCAACGCAACATACGCATTTCCGCGACACTTATCTCATGAACATGTCGCCTTTTCGTAGGCCAACATTCTCGCACCATACAACATAGCAGCGTGTCTAATCGCCGTCCCCATAAAACTTGTCTTTTAGCTTCAGGGTACCCTTTTGTCACATAGGACATCGATGTTTGGCGCCACTTCATCTACCCCGCTTTGATTCTATGGCTAACATCTTCATCAATATCCCCGCCTCTCAGAAGCATTGATCTTTAATATCGAAATGTATCATTCCTAGGCACTACTTGATCTTACAAACTAATACCTTCCTCCTCCCGAGTAGTAGTGCCGAAGTCACATCTCATATACTCAGTTTTAGTTCTACTGAGTCCAAAACCTTTGGACTCCAAAGTCTCCCGCCATAACTCCAGTTTCTGATTCACTCATGTCCGGCTTTCATCAACTAGCACTACATCGTCCGCGAAAAGCATACACCAAGGGATGTCCCCTTGTATGTCCCTTGTGACCTCATCTATCACTAAGGCAAACAGATAAGGGCTCAAAGCTGATCCTTGATGTAGTCATATCGTAATCGGAAAATCATCCGTGTCTCCATCACTTGTTCAAACACTAGTCACAACATTGTTGTACATGTCCTTAATGAGCCCAACGTACTTCGTTGGGATTCTATGTTTGTCCAAAGCCCACCACATAACATTCCTTGGTATTTTATCATAAGACTTCTCCAAGTCAATAAAAACCATGTGTAGGTCCTTCTTCTTCTCCCTATACCACTCCATAACTTGTCTTATTAAGAAAATGGCTTCCATGGTTGACCTTCCGGGCATGAAACCAAATTGGTTCATAGAGACCCGCGTTATTGCTCTCAAGCGATGCTCGATAACTTTCTCCCATAGCTTCATAGTATGGCTCATTAACTTAATTCCCCGGTAATTAGTACAACTTTGAATATCCCCTTTATTCTTGTAGATCGGTACCAATATACTTCTCCTCCACTCGTCAGGTATCTTATTCTTGTTGAACAGCTTGGTTAGCCATACTATAGCTATGTCCCCGACGCATCTCCACACCTCGATTGGGATACCATCCGGTCCCATCGTCTTACCTCCTTTCATCCTTTTCAACGCCTTTCTGACCTCAAATTCTTGGATTCTCCGCACAAAGCGCCTATTGGTGTCATCAAAAGAGTCATCCAACTGAAAGGTTGTGTCTGTATTCTCACCATTGAACAATTTGTCAAAATACTCTTACCATCGATGTCGGATCTCATCCTACTTCACCAAGAGATGCTCCCTCTCATCTTTAATGCACTTAACTTGGTTGAAGTCTCTTGTCTTTCTCTCACAAACCCTAGCCATCCTATAAATGTCCTTCTCTCCTTCCTTCATACTCAAATGTTGGTAAAGATTCTCGTACGCTCTACCCTTTGTCACACTTACAGCTCGCTTTGCAATCTTCTTTGCCACCTTGTACATAAAACATGTGTTCATAAACCCAAAAGTTAAGCTAGCACCAAAGAAACTAATCATGCTCTTGCAATTTATCTTAAAAGTAGACCAAGAACACACCGAGTAGCAATGACAACAAAGAACCGGGAAAAGAATGAAGGATTAGTGTCTATCAAATGCTACTGAAACTCCTCAACAAACTTGGCTTTAACAACGTCATTAAGCTCTTGTAGGAAAGAACATATAGATTTAGCTCTTGGTTGCCCCAAACATCCTTCATCCACTGCATGCAAATTTAAGGTACCGGAATAAGAGTTCCATCAATTTCGTGGGGATGAATTCAGTAGAACAAGTGGAATCACATAGCGAAGAAATTACACAGAAAATTGTTGCCCAGATCGATGCTTCAACTTTGGAGCCATCAACAACCGTCACACTTCCTATTCCTCCAAGCACGAGATTCTTCAAGGCTTCGCTCCAAAGAGGACCACAGTTAAGCAAGCATATGCTAGCCTTCTCCAAAGGCAGCCTGGCCTTGATCACCCCATATCCTGCGCTTTGCAGTTAACAGATGACAGGTGTCTTTCAATATCTGGGCATGCTATCCGATCAAGTAGGCAGTAGAATAATCTGGAAAAATAATAAGCATTGTACCTAACAAACTACAGGTTAAACGACGGAATGGATTTCATTAGTTTTAATAAACAATGCCTGTGTCATGGATTAACAATTCAAATACACCATTACCAGCCCATAAGAATTTGCAACAGAAAACTAGGGTTATTTTGCTGTTGCCTCAACAACTAATGAATATGGCCAGTAGGTAATGCTGAATTGCTGGCTGCAAATAGCTTAATTTCAAAGTAACGCTAAGTCATTGATCATACTGCCATGTACCATGCATCACACAACGCAAGAGCAGTCTAAGAGTCAAACCAAGCAGATTAAAATAGGGACAGACTAGAGCAACTGGCTGTGACCTGTGATGGCAACCAGAAATCACCAACCTAGGCAGAGATCATTTAATTGACAAAATACTTCTAGGCATTTAAGGTTTATAGTCAGGATTGATATTTGTACCGTCCAAAGTGCTGTCTCACGTAATTACAAAGGCAAAAGACAATTAGTAACTTCCTAGCTAAGGCAATAGAAGCACCCGCTAATTCAGTTGTTCATCTAGAACCAGTAAAGTAAATCACTATTAGATTGCATCTTGCCATCAGAATGCCATACACTACCTAAAAAGTTGTAGCAAATTCCTTGCGCATAACAGATGAACCTAACAATAAATAAATCGGTACCCACCGATGTGGAAGCAAGCAACCCCAGCTCTAATGCAAGCCTTCACAGTTGGACCGACACCATATCGCTCGAGAGTCAAAACCAAAGGAGCCTAAACCCTAGTCGCCGCAGCACAGCACATCCAGATCGATCTCTAACCGAATAAAATAAGCAGAATTACATCGCTGCACGACCCTAAACCCTAGAATCAAACGAAGCCAAGCGCTCGGAATCTACCCATCGACCACGCGGAGACGAGGAGGTGCAGGCGGAGGGAGAGCGCAGATGCGCGTCGAAGGGTTACCTGAGCTGGCGATCGTACTTGGTCTTGGGCTCGGCGACCACGCCGGTGGCGGCCATGGCTGCGGGGCGGGGCGGGGCGGAGGCCACTGTGGTCTCTGCTCTCCCTGTGGCCTGGGGTTTTCGGAGTTCAGATCGCTTCGCCCCGCTACACTACGGCAGGAATAAAGCGGCGGAGCGGAACAAGGTACGGAGGGTTTTTTTTTTTTTGAGAAATACGAGGTACGGAGGTAGTATAGCTTCTCCGCGAAGCTGGGCCAGCCCAATAAGATACCGGGCCAGAATATGGCGCGAAGACGAGAGAAACAGATGGGTGCATCGGCCCAGTAGAGCATACTATCTGAAAGGCCCGGTTTGCTAGTGCTGGCCCTGGCCCAGAGTAATCAAATGGAAATTTTAGGAGAAGATTTATTTGGAGCGAAATTGCATGCACCGTGAATCCATCAATCCTTTCCTTTAAAAAAGATCCATCATCCCCAATCCAGGTCTCTGACTGTTCCAGTCAGAATCTAACTGACTTCAGGATTAATAAAAAAAAACTAAAAAAAGATGCTTCAGGTTCAAGAACAAGGTTATGTGATGTACTCGTACGTCACTGAAAGGTTGGTTAGTAGTAGTCGTCGTCGTTAAAGAAGCAGGGAAGATGCGTTGTGCCAGACAGTCACTCAGACAGGCAGACAGCCAATTGCACTGCAGGCAGAATAACATATTTTCAGCCGTAAACGATGTTCGCTTGTTCGTAAACGATCGTAAATTTTCAGCCGGAAACCGTGTTTTTCTCTCACACCAAGCCAGCCAGTAGTAAATAATCCACAATACGATACGGCCTCCCGAACAGGCTGTTAGAGCTCTGCTCTGTCCTGATTGCTGCCAGTTAAGGAGCAACAAGGAATAAAGTAGGTGTAATGATTTCTAGGAATCATGGATTACTTTACATATTATTTGGATCGATCATTGTGCACTAGTATTCCATTAGCGTGCTGCTTTCCGCTTCGTTTTTTATTTATTTTCAAGTTGGGAGGGCCTAGGTAGCTGCAGAGGCCATCCTCGTTGATATTGGAGGTCCGCGCTTGATATGCGTAAATAAAAAATAATTAAATGAATTGTTATGTTCATTCAAAGTCAGATAAGATTGTCAAATCGGAAATTTGGGAGTCAGAGGCCGGATAGATGCGATACGACGGCCACCTCGCTCAGAATGAGTTCGGGAAACAAAGTGGACTCTTACAAAATTCAGCACCTGTTAACTACAATACCAGCCAGTACAATTATGCAAGAGACTAACGACATCTGGATATGTTAACAGCGTTATTCTATTAATCTTCTCAGCATCATCAGACAGGGAATGATACAAGAGTACGTGACGGCAGTTTATTTACTGCTCGTTCTAATTGTCCATGCGGTGTGAGAACATGAGCTGACCAGGATTATATTATCCTACTATAAACACAGTCATCGCTATCGATCCACGCGTGGGTTAATTCAAGAGCTGAACATCAGCGCCCGTTAAATTTGAATTTTTCTTAATTTTATAGTCGAATAACAAATCCAAGTGTCAATCATGCATCTCAAGTCTACTCTATCATGTTTGATATTTAATGCCACGAGAAGAAGCCGCAAGTCAACTGCTAGAACTTAGGGTGTTTGACACGGCTCTTCTTGAGGGACTCCTCCAGAGGAGCTAGAGCCGTTTTGGAGAAGCCTCAATTTGTGGCTTCTCCAAAACGGCTCCAGCTCTTCTTGCTTTTTACTGAAAAATAGCTTCTCTACAAAAGCGTTTTGCAAGGCTCCTTCGTAGAAGCCAGGACCAGAGTTGAGAAGAAGCCTCGCCAAACAAGCCCTAAAAGTCAAACGTCCCTTGCATGCAAGCTCAAACAAGCAATCCCCGTCCGTTGACTTTGTAACAAATGCATCCTATAAATAGCATACAATCCTCCCTCACTGTAGCGTATCATCATCACGCAGCAGGCGGCAGTCCGACGAGCATTTCCTGCCGATGAAGAGGCTCACGTTCGGACAGCAGGAGCCGGAGCCGGGCGTCATCAGCGTGGCCCAGGGGGTCATGCTGCTGCTCGCGCGCAGCGGCAGCGGCGGCGGCGAGCCGTCGCCGTCGCCGCGCGTGTTCGAGTGCAAGACGTGCAGCCGCCGGTTCCCGTCGTTTCAGGCGCTGGGCGGGCACCGCGCGAGCCACAAGCGCCCGCGGGCGGCCGAGGCGGCAGCACCGGCCAAGGCGCGCGCGCACGGCTGCGCGGTGTGCGGCGTCGAGTTCGCGCTCGGGCAGGCGCTGGGAGGCCACATGAGGCGCCACCACGCCGTGACCGACGGCGAGGAGAGCGGCGGCGCCGCTAGCGCCCACGGGCTGGACCTGGACGACGCCGAGGCGAAACCGGAGGAAGCGAGAGGCCTGCTGGGCTTGGACCTCAACATTGCCCCGTCATGACGGAGCATTTTGGGATTTCGTGTTCAATTCGTTTTTTGTTCTGGTTTTGCAATTCCGGCGTTCTTTTGTACAAAATCACAGTACGACTACGACTACGACATGATTGATTTACTTTGTATTCCCTCGATTAAAAAAAAGATTGATCTGTAAAAAAGCAACTATCCAATGTAACTTTTGTTACGTAATTTTGTAGTCAAATAACAAAATCATAGTTCAAGACACTGCAACTATGTAATGTAACTTTTGTTGTAAAAAAAGCATACAACACTTCAGCGTGTATGTGCACAATGACGGAAAAAAAACTCACCGCATCCCAAGGATGACGCACCTAGACAAAGAGCTCACCGACGTGAGGTTTTTATGGCTGTCGAACATAAAAGGGGTTTCTAAAGAGTCCATCAAATTAGAGGCAGTGACGATTTAGGGCTTCCTAAGTTAGAGCTCAGCATTTAGAGGGTTTCTATGGCTATCAAACACAAAAGGGGGTTTCTAACGAGACCATCAAATTAGAGGTGGTGACGGTCGAGACGGCGACGAAAGAGTGAGAGGCTAACTGCTAGACAAGAGGGAGAAGATACCTTGAGTTTAACAACAGCGGCGACAACAGTAATGGTGGCAAGGGAGGGTGGCAGGAGGAGATGCCAAGGAGCAAGAGAAGACGCAGTTGACTCACACACCATAGCTGTATTTTAAAAAAACATAGTACTACTCCTTTCATCCACTGAACAATGTAACTATGTAATTTGTGCAAGTCAAACTAGCTTTACTTTGACCAAATCTATAGTAAATATATAAATAAACTTTACTCTCCAACTAAATTTATTATGAAAAATATATTGCATAATTAATCTATAGTAAATGCTAGCACTTTTTTATATAAGTTCAAACTTCAAATCGTTTGACCGAAACATAATATCTGGAGTTGCATCTTTTGCCAATAAGAATTGCATCTTTTGTGGATAGAGAGAACCATATAACTGAAACAGAATATATGGAGTTGTAGCGTCCACGAGATCAAACCAACCCCACCCAGTTGTATCCACGCTCGTGGTTATCAAGAGCAGAGTTTCCACAATATAGCAAGTAATTGTTCTGACTTAACACCCATTTTGTCCAAATCACAACAATTGCAATAACTAAAGAAGCACAAGGAGAGAGTAGCTGCCAAAGAATAAAATGATGAAAATTACATGCGCGAAAACGCCACTATCTTGCCGTGACAACTGTTCAGGAGCCGCAGCAAGCTGATTTCTGTGCCGCTGCTGCATCAGCTTCCCCTTCAGCCTTGATCTTGATAGTTCGATCCTGCAAACACGCAAGCTAAGGAACTGTGGAAGAAAAAGCAGACGTGTCAAAGGATCAAAGCTATGAAAAGGGTTGCACCTCAGGCTTGGAATCAGTCTCTGAAAGTCTCTGTTTGATATCCCTTGCTATCGAAAAGAAAACCTGCTCGACATTCAGGTTTGTCTTTGCACTCTGCCGCAAATAATAAAAAACAAATTATGCATCAGTTATGGTACAAGAAAGGAATGCCATAGGCAGAAGTTGTCATTTTCACTAACCGTTTCAAAGAACTTTATCCCATATTCGTCAGCGAGAGCTTGCCCCTTTGAAGTGGGCACAGCCTTTACGAAAGAAAAATGAGCATGTAAGAAATAAACGTTATTATTATAAGTATAAAGTTTAAGAGATCAAATAAGAGTACAAAATAGATAAATTGTGTACCCGTTTACTTTCATCCATATCAGCTTTATTCCCCACCAGAACTTTGTTCACATTATCCGAAGCGTGTTGCTCAATGTTTCTGATCCAATTTCTTATGTCTGCAAGTCAGCACCAATGACAGTATTAGAATTCAGAAATCGAATCTGAACTGATTTAAGAAAAACATTTAAGTACAAGGGTCAGTACTATTGAAAGATGACTCGCCTGTGACATCGCACACAAGTAAAATGCCCATTGCTCCCCTGTAGTAGGCTGCAAAGAAGAATTGCACAATCACAAACTTCATCGTTATAAAAAAAAACACAAACTTCAGCCATACAGTGTTTGGAAACGAATCATATTTGCTAAAAGGAAAACAAGCATACCAGTTGTAATAGTGCGGAAACGTTCTTGGCCTGCAGTATCCCAGATCTGCAACTTAATCCGTTTGCCATCCAACTCGACAGTCCTTATCTTGAAGTCAATACTGTTTTCAAAATTCAATGGGTAATAATAAGTCCATACAAACTTTTGCATGTAACTTAATAATTCCTCAATACATAATAATTCCTCTACATACCCAATAGTGGTGATGAAGCTAGTGGTGAATGATCCATCTGAAAACCGTAACAGGAGACAACTTTTTCCAACACCTACATAAGTACAAAAAAAATTGTGACTGAAATATCAGCCGGGTATACTTCCCAAATACATCGGCCGGAAATACTCAACAACAACAACAACATAGTCTTTCAGTCCCAAGCAAGTTGGGGTAGGCTAGAGTTGAAACCCACCAAGAGCCCCAAGTCACGGTTCAGGCACTTCAATAGCTGTTTTCCAAGTACTCCTATTCAAACATAGATCTCTAGGTATATCCCAAGCTTTCAAATCTCTTTTTATTGCTTCCCCCCATGTC